ATTGTTCGGCTTTTCAAATTTCGGAGAGGCCTCCAGTTGATCTAGAAAAGGATCGGAACTACGTCTTTTGAGGAACGCTGAAACTATCTATACATAATTTAAATCTGATTAAAGTACTCGAGAAAGTTAAGTATACACATTTTTTTTATTTAAAAAAATAGCGCAAGTTGTTCCGTTATTAAATAGCAATTCTGAAAATTTCCTGTTGAACCGATGGAAAATTTCAAATTGTTCCTCCGTTACTAGTTTGCTAATTTTTCTTTGGAGAAACGTTGTCTTTTAGTTAGTCCAACAATCGCAGCATCTGCGTTGCATCTCTTGGCTTTGCCAGGCGCGTCGCGTCCTCCGTCGATGAATTCGTCGAGGCGCATAATCTTGAGTATCGAGTGTCGCGGTTAGTCAGCGTTTGCCGCTCACGTAAGCGACATAATCGCGCTTTCGGTATAAACAACTAGCCCCAAGACGCGCTTCTGGGAACGTGGTATATACGTACGTTTTTTTCATCGGGGAATCTGGCCAAAAAAATCTGGCCTGGGTTTTATCACAGGTGACCTCCTCCGCAACCGTGAAATTCTCATCGCGCGGCCGATCTCGGAGAGACTCGTTCATTGACTCTCCCTCTCGCGCCGTTCTCGCATTCTCTTTCTCTCTCTCCCTCTTCGTTACTCTCGCACTTTCCGCATCCTCCGCCTTCGTCTCTCGCGCCGCATCGTGATGCATCCGCATTACTCGCGCGCACATTGCAGCTCGATGTGCCGTGCCGCATACATCGCTCGCGCGCGTAGCACACACGCCGCTCCTCTTTTCTCCTCTCCTCTCTTCTCCTCTCCTCTTCTCTTCTCTCCTCTCTTCGGCCGCTGTGGTCTCCCTTCGCGAGCGATTCGCCCCACCAGTACTCGCGGCTCCTCGCGACGAGGAAGAGGTGGACGGGCCTCACCGGAGAGGAAACGAGTCTCGGCCACTTGGCGAAGTTTATTCGTATTCTCGGCCTAGTATTAGTTCTGGCGCAACCGTGTCTGCACGCGAGAAATTCACGCTCGCGCGAAACCTCTTGATCGCTAAATTTTTCCTTCCGGCGTAAACTCACTTGCGGCGAATTTTTCCACGAGTCGGAAGGGACATCTGGAGTCCCGGGTGTTGATGCCTCCGGTCGCGTCTCGACGCTCTTATTAAGTTCGTTCATGTCGATCGATTCTTCTTCCGGAGAGTGACCAAGGTACGAAAATGAAGATCGGAAACGAAAGGAATCGTCCGTGTGTTTCTAACGACGCCGCGCGGGCCGCTTGTTGGAGTAAAAGATCGCTCTCGCGTGAGAAAGTTGAATGAACTTCGGGTGCAGCTGCTGGCCGGTGACGCTGCCACTGCTGCGCGTTTGGCACGTTCATTGTCCCTGACCTATCCCGGTGGGGGCGTCTGGAATTTTCAGCCTTGAGTGCCCGATTGTGATTCGCGAACGTGCAAGCCGTGCACAAGCCGTGCGAGCCGTGCGGCCGGCGAAGTTTGCCCCGCGGCATGTGCACTTGGTGACAGTGATCTAGCAAAAGTGCTCAAGGTTCCGCACTGATTGGTCCTTGGGATCTCGGGTGCGAGAGCAGTGCGGCTGATCGTTTTAACGGCTGCAGTTTTTGTTTCGTTTTGCTTCGAGTGGATGAATTTAAATAGCATCTACAGATTACATTATTCCACTACGATACTCTCATCTCTCTCTTTCGAAAAACCGTCACGAACTCACCTATTGAGTAAACTCGCATATCTCTGCCATTATTTTCATCGCAAATATGCGGCTTGCGGAGCTTAAGCAATCGAGGATTTAATAAGGACACCCTCGCCGACAGCGGTATGCGTGTCGGCCCGCAGTGGCCTTGCGTAGAATTCCAGAGAGATGCGCGTTGGTTAATCGCGCGACATTTATCTCCCAGCGGTTTCGCAATTTCTTTTAGAAAACGCCACGTTTATGGCCCATTTATAGAGTCGGCCTCGTCTCTGGACGGCGATAAATAGTTAGACGAGTAGTTACAATTAATTCCGCGCACGTGATAGCGATACTCGGTCGTGGTCTCGGTGCAGTTTTATCATCACGTGCGATGCGCACATGGGACATATAAGTGCGTTTTTTTTTTTTATGCCGGCTGTAAAAATGCGCGAACCGGTCGCAGCGCGAAACAATTTCGTTGCACCGAGGCGATATTTTGTTTCCGAATCAACGCCGGCGTTGAACAGATTCATAATTTCAACTTGCAACAGTTCATTTATCATAGGAGCATATCTATACTAGTATTGTTTCATTAGCTTGGCGCATTTTTTGGCGCTAGTTCAAGTAGACATTTATTTCTTTATTATTTTTTATCGGCGCGTTTCAATTCACATAATCAACATTAAGAAATACATATATCAACATTAAGAAATTCGCACGAAATCATCTGATACTCTTCAAGACGCGCAAGGTGACGCAGGTATCCCAATTATCGCGTTCCTTCGTGTACAATAGCGCTGAGATTGGTCTAAGAGATACGTGATGTTAGCTCGCTCGAGACGTTAATTATAATAATACGAATACGCGTATTACGCATATTAAGCGAGAACTAAATTATTACTGTCTTGATTGTGCAGGTCTCAATACTGACTCATCGCGGAGACTGCAAGGGCGGACATCATTATTGGTGAGAAATTATTTTTAATAATAAATCTCTTTTCTCTTGGTCAAATTTGTATTTACGAATTACTGATACATATATTTTCTCGCGGATAACTATAACAAAAGGATCTCTTTCATTCGAGTTGAAATTCTTCTTCTATTTCTCCAACCTTAACCTTTTTACACGTATTTTGAACTGTCATATCGATCCCTTTTGATTTAATCTACAACTACCTCTTTTATAATGTGAAATTCTACTGAAGCCTATAGAAATTTTTCTTTTGAATCTATTTTGGATACAAAAAGTAAGAGCCCACTTCTTATGTAAATTCTGTCGCGATCCTTTAGAATCTATAAACGTTTTAAAAACTGAGATTAAAAATGGGAATAAAATTTCGACTCGGACTGGTCTCGGCCCTTATTACATCGCAACGGAGACCAGTCGCGCGCTGAACGGAATTGCGATTAGTGAAAAGCGGGTCGTGACGTTTTCGTCTACCGGCCACGAGAGACGAAGGCGAAAGCAAAGCCGGTGCAAAGCGAAACGGTCCGTGTTCGTGGAGACGGAGAAGGGTTAGGGAAGAGGGACGCGCGAAGTGGTCAGACTGGTGTAACAGGACGTTACCCCCTAGTTGCGTGCGGCAAGGGCAGGACACGATATTGTTATTGCGCCTTCCTTCATCCTTCGCGCACACAGTTCTCTCGGCCTTACTGCGCCCAGTGATTCTCAAATCTCTCCCCGGTCCTTCGTATTCTCACATTCGAGATCATTTAATTTCAACTCCTCACGATCGCGAATTAAATCTAGTGTTTGTTTTGTTTTTTTTTTTTTTTTTTATTTGG